CATACCTTCCCAAAATAATTGACATACTGCCAGCAAGGAACATAGGGACTGGTTATGGGATACACAACTGTGACTTCCCCAGCAATGCACATGCTATTCCTTTTGCCTGAAACCTCTGTCCACCATTTATTTTCCCATCTAACTTATGTTCTTTCAAGTCTAGGCTCTGAGTAGCTGCAAGGAAACCATCTTTATGCCCTCTAGGTTGGGTAGATAACTTCCTGCTACTCACTGGCAGCCTGTGCCACCCCAACCACACTGCACTGCAGGCTTCACTCCTCAGCCTCCCACCACTCCCCAGCTCCTTGAGGGCAGGGACTGGATCTCATTTGTTCCTGTATCTCTAGCCGCTAGGACAGTGCACAGCACAGGGCAGACACTTAACTCATGCCTGCTGAAAGAAATCTATTTGCTCGTATTTTATTTTACAATTTCAAGTCTAGAGTCACAACAGAAATCCATTTCCAGGTTTTTCGTGTGTGTGTGTGTGTGTGTGTGTGAATGATTTGTTTGTTGGGATTTGGAATTAGGATGATCTTTTCCACATAAACCAAACTGGAGTGTTTCCAGAACAAGTTGTTTAACTTGTGGATTATTGGTTCCTTAAAAGCCCAGAGGCTCAGCAAGTATTTCCTGAACAGGGACTGTGTGTTGGGGCTCTGTACAAGTTGGCACTTTATACAAGAGCAGTATGAGAGCTTGTCTCTGAATGCGTAGTTTATGCTTTAAGGCAGCATTTTTCAATTGTGGGTAATGAAATCAATTTCGTGGGTCAAACAATCATTAAAGGGGGAGAAAGAATTCAATGAAGTAGAACAAAATGTATCAGAGTATATTACTCTTGCTAAAACTTTTGGCCGTGTGTGTGTGATAAAATGTACTTTTACAAATGGGTCACATTTGCAAAAGTTTATAGCCATTGCTCTAAGGATCAGTATATTTTCTTTGCTCTTTCTCTTCGAGATATTTTTTCTTTTTTTTCTTTTTTGAGGTAGAGTCTTGCCCTGTCTCCTAGGCTGGAGCGCAGTGGCACGATCTCTGCTCACTACAACCTCTACCTCCCAGGTTCAAGCAATCTTCCCACCTCAGCCCCCCGGGTAGCTGGGACTACAGGAGCTCACCACTATCACTGGCTATATTTTGTATTTTTAGTAGAGACAGGGTTTTGCCACGTTGGCCAGGCTGGTCTCGAACTCCTGACCTCAAGTGATCTGCCTGCCTCAGCCTCCAAAGTGCTGGGATTACAGGTGTGAGCCACTGTGCCCAGCCTTTGTTTCTTTTTTAACTCCCAATGTCTGGGCTCTATGAAAAGAGGGAAAGACAAGGATTTGAGATTCTGTCTCCCATACTATACTCCTGCCCTGCCAGCCCCCACCGAGAGATTTGTTAGCCTGGCATAGACTTTTAGAGTCAGGAGGCAGAAGTCAAATTCTCAGTCCAAGACTTACAAACTCAGCAGCCTTCAGCAAGTCATTGGACCTTTCAGAACATCTGTTTCTCTTTTGTGGAATGGAGATAACAATACCTGTTTCACAAGGCAATTAAGAGGATGGAGTGAAATATGTGAAAATATTGTTTAGTAAACTCCCTTTAGGTCCTTAGAGGAGAAAAGCAAATTTCATGTGTAGGTTAAAGAACATCCTGTCCCCTGTGAAAAGGGGAAGGACCTCAGGGAATGGCTTCACAGAGAAAGTTGACAAGGGATGCTAATACCCAGGGGCTGCAGATATTTAAATCAAAAAAGGGGGAAAATCAATGGGAAAAGGTCAGGACCCTCTCATTTTTCTAACGAGCAGTTATTTTGTATTTCTCCATGGAGTTCACTGTGCCAGGGAGGCTGGAAGTGCTGACGCTGCACGCTGCTGAGTCAGGGGAAGGGAGGCGTTGCTGACACTGTTCCCTTTTCATAAACTTTGCAGGAAGGACCAGCCAGTGGACTCTGTCCTCCCTTTCATCCTTGGCAGGGGGTGTGGAGGGGGTCACCCAGCCTGGTGATCACTCAGGTTGGGAACTGTGGTTGAAGGGTGAGGGGAAGTAGAGTGGGGGTGAGAGCTCACAGCAAGCCAATGAGAGCGGCTGGTCTATGGGGAGGGTCATACCTCATACTTCCGAAATTCTCTCTTAATAGCTGTCTCCGAGCAACCATCACAGTGGAGAAGATGGGCCCAGGCTGTCCCATGGATCATTTTCTCCAGCTATAGGCAGGCTGCCTTCCTTGCAAATGCTCTGTAGGCTTCACAGCCTAGCTTCTTCTGTTGTCAGCTGTATTAACAAGGAGCCATAGATGGACTTCCTTAAATAAAAAGTTATTTTTACTTATTTGTTGTTACCCTCAAATTGCTGAGAGTTTTTTTTTTTTTTTTTTTAGGAAGGGTCTCACTCCAGGCTGGAGGGCAGCAGCACAATTGTGGCTCACTGCAGCCTCGACCTCCTCAACATGATCCTCCCACCTCAGCTGGGACTACAACGTGTACTACTTTACCCAGCTCCTTTTTTTTTTTGGTAGAGAGGGGGTCTTGTTACGTTGTCTGGGCTGGTCTTGAACTCCTGGCTTCAAGCGATCCTCCTGCCTTGGCTATTGCTGGGACTTGGAAGAAAGACTCTGTAGGGGATCCTCCCCTGCACACACACACACACACACACATACACACACACATACATACATACATACATACATACATTCACCCCTGAGACAAGACGAGGAAATGGGAAGCTGGCTCACCTTAGCAGGCAGGCAGAGCAGCGGAGGTCACTACCTACCTGGGCTGGGACTTGTCCTTAACTATCCTAAGGGAATGCAGAATAAGAGGAAGAGGTAATTCCCAGTGTTTCAAGAAAAGACTAGGGATCCCCTAAAACCCAGTGGTTCTTCAGTTGGTCAGTTGGTTTTTTCCAGACACTCTGTCCTTAAGGAGTCACATCCAGGATCGTGGCACTTCACTCCCTATTCTTTAACACACTTCAAACCTGCCTTGGCCCAAGGGTGCCAGCATTCCCCAGCATGCTCAGTAGAAGGAGATGGTGAAACAGGCAGAGGGGTCATACTCACACCCATACAGGGCAGGAGAAAGCCCTAGGTCGTGTGTGAACAACTGCTGCCTCATCTCCCCGGCACAGCTGGATGCATCCGTCTGCCAACACTCATCTCTAGTTGTGCTTTCTTGACGGTCAGCGGTGACCTTTTAGTCATCAATTCCAGCGATCTTTACTCAGGCCTCACCATTCAGCCGACCAGCTCTTCTTTCTGAAATGCTCACCCAAGTGAGCGAGTTCCTCCCCTACTCCTATGATGACTCTTTCTTGGGTTCTTTTTTTCTCTTTTTCTGCATCTTAAGTTTATGTCTTTCTCAAACCCGTCTTTAGCCCTTTTCTTTCTCTGCCATCTCTCTCTCTTTCTGGGAAAACTTCAGTTTCTTTTGCCACATGAAGTAGTGTCTTGTCAAGACTTTATTTTTGTCAAATAACAGTAACCTATTCCAACTAGCTTAGGCAAAGAAGGGTCTACATCCTAAGGGGGTCTATAGGGCCCAGTAGAGGAGTGTGAGTACTCTGGGCAGGGGCTGAACCCAGGACTTGGGAGGTTCCCAGGAAGCCAGGTAGAATTTGCTGAAGCACTGGTTTCTGCGTTCTACGTGTCTGCTCACATCTGCTTCCTCTCCCTCCTCTCTTCTCCTGGACCACCATTTTACCTGGAACTTTCATGATCTCTTTAGTGATTTCCCTACTGTTGGTTGTATCTGCCATCTAAGCTATCTTATTTCACCAGCTATGCCCTCTGCCTATGGTCCCATGTTTTAGAGGGTCCCATGCTTTGGAGAGACTCACTCTGGCCCACTTTGGCTATACCTCTCATGGAGGAAAGAACCCACAAGGCCAATGGGATGTTCCCACCCAGGGCCCATATTCCCCTTCTAGAGCCTAATTCCTGGGCCTGGGCCACTTCTTCTGCAGGTACACTTCCCCGAGGACAGAACATACTACTATTGTACTTATTCCTAGGCATGAAAGGTGTGCAATGAGTGTGATGAGGTGAGAGTGGGAATGTAGATGGAGCTTGGTCATGTCTACGTGAATGTACTCAAGGCCTCTTGTCCTGTGGGACAGGGCCTGGGCTAGGAAGAGAAGTCGGGGGGTGGGTCAGGGGCCAGCTTTCTTCATTCCACCATGTGCCAGCATGGAGCTCTGAGAAGTTCAAGAATTCCATATTTGAATCTGGCCTTCCAGATTAGCCCTTTTCTTTCTCTTTTTCAAGAGCTGTATATTTGTATCTGTGTGTATATTTTGTGTTTATGAAGGTATATTTGTTAGTATAGGGAAATTGAAATACTTTATCAGTTTGTTGGTAAAATTTACAATTTTTATATAGGTGGTATGTGGACTTCCATCTGTATTCACGCCCTGGGCCCCTCCGATCTTTGGGGCAAGCCTGTATTTTAGTTTGGTCTGATTTATACAAAATTATAGGCTGGGCATGGTGGCTGACACATGTAATCCCAGCACTTTGGGAGGCAGAGGCAGATAGATTGCTTGAGGCCAGGAGTTCGAGACCAGCCTGGCCAACATGATGAAACCCTGTCTCTACTAAAAATACAAAAATCAGCCAGGCATGGTAGTGCTCACCCATAATCCCCAGCTACTCAGGAGGCTTAGGCAGGAGAATCACTTGAACCTGGGAGGTGGAGGTTGCAGTGAGCTGAGATTGTGCCACTGCACTTCTGAGAGACAGAGCAAGACTCTCTCTCAAAAAAAAAAGTGGCCAGTTTGAAGTTGCTGAGAACAGGTCACACATCAGTGTAAAGGAGACATGATTCCTAAGGTCACATTTTACCTCTGTTCTGGATTTTCCTATAGTTCCCATGTGCTGGAACTCATCCCAGCCTAATTCATGTAAGGCCCTTCTAGGGTGCAGGAGCAGACCACAGGAACCTGGCTTAGTACTTAGCAGTACTCAGCAACAGCTTCTAAGGAGGAACTCAGGACAATAATGAGCATACAATGTTGATAATCAATCTTCTATTGATATCTTTAAGGGGAAAAATTAGGGGGATAATCCACTTGGACCAGGACGAAGTATAAGTGGGTAGGACTGGAAGTGGGGGAAGGTGAACTAGGGCGAGATGAAGTTCCATAACCTTCTCCACACTTCCAAAGTTGAGTCAGGTGCTCGTGCTGGGACAGAAGACTGAATCCAGGGTAAAGCTTCTGTTCAGCACAGCTCCATCTGCCAACACAGATAACTTGGAATATTTCCATGCCAGATGTGGAAGGGTCAAGAGCTTCGCAGAAAAGTTATTGTTGAGCTTGAGAGACAAAGAGGTAATTTTTAAATAGGGAATATGGAGGAATGTATATTCTAGGAAAAGCCTTGAGTGTAAAAAACTTTTAAAGCTATATATATATATATATGATTTAAATTTATAGATGTACATATTTAATTTTTTCTTCTTTGTTTTGAGACGGAGTCTTGCTCTGTCACCCAGGCTAGATGCAGTGGCGTGATCTTTGCTCACTGCAACCTCCACCTCTCAGGTTCAAGAGATTCTCTTGCCTCAGCCTCCTGAGTAGCTGGGATTACAGGCGTGCGCCACCACACCTGGCTGATTTTTGTATTTTTAGTAGAGGTGGGGTTTTGCCATGTTGGCCAGGCTGGTCTTGAACTCTTGACTGCAGGTAATCTACCCACCTCAGCCTCCCACAGTGCTGAGATTATAGGTATAAGCCACTGTGCCCAGCCCGTATTTAAGTTTTTAAGTTAAATAACATACACAGCTTTCCTGGACTTCAAAACCAGGTGTTAAGGACAGACTTTCCAAAATAGAGATATCAGGCTGTTTTTATATAAAGTCGCTTTATCTCAAACTCATTGGTGTCGGCTCTAATGGAGGGAAGGGGATGCTGATGTCTCAGGACAGCCGCCTGTGAAAAGCTTGAAGCACTGACTTGTGCAGTGCTTCTTAAGCCATAGCATGCGTTGGAAACACCTGTCAGTGCTGGTTTGAAATGCAAAATTTACGAGACTTTTTTTTCCTTATTTATCATCTACTATGGTTTGAATGTGTCTCTCAAATTTCATGTGTTAGAAACTTAATCTCCAAATGTGACAATATTGAAAGGTGGGGTCTTTGAGAGATGATTGGATCAAGATGCTTTAACCCTTATGAATGATTAATCCATTTATAGGTTAATGGATTAATGGACTAATAGACTAGCAGGTAATCTTGCAAGTGGAACTGGTAGTTTTTTAAGAAGAGGAAGAGAGATCTAACCAAGCATGTGAGCTCACTCAGCCCCTCACCATGTGATTGCCGGTGCAGCCTTAGGTCTCTGCAGAGAGTCCTCACCAGCAAGAATCCCCTCACCAATGTGGCCCCTCAATCCTGGACTTCTCAGCCTTCATAACTGTAAGACATAAAGTACTTTTCTTTATAAATGACCCAGTGCCATATATTCTGTTATAACCAATAGGGAACGAACTAATACACTATCCAAAATTATCTATTGAAAGCAATTATAGTAAGGATCTTGCTTGTTAACAAAAAATTATCGTATATATTTTAAATTAAAAAAAACTACTTTAGCAATACTAAGAGAAAATAAGCCCAAGCCTGGTGGCTCATGCCCATGATCCCAGCACTTTGGGAGGCCGAGGTGGGATGGGGCTTGAGGCCAGGAGTTTGAGACCAGCCCAGTCAACGTATCAAGACCCCATCTCTACAAAAATATTTTAAAATCAGGTGGGCATGCTGATGCACACCCGTAGTCCCAGCTACTTAGGAGACTGAGGCAGGAGGATTGCTTAAGTACAGGAGTTCACCACTACATTCCCACCTGTGTAATGGAGCAAGACTCTGTCTTAAAGGAAAATAAAAAGATAAAATAACATTTTATGTGCAGAAAGTTTGGAGAGGGCAGAATCAAGTAAAATTTCCTCATATTAACTCAGAAATAGTAATAAGGGCAAAATGTTCTAAAGGATGGCCTTAAATTGAGTCATTTAGGAAGAGTGTAATAAAGTTACTATTTACAAAGCATGGACTGGGCTTAGACAACGCAAAAGGGACGCGCACTACCCTTAGGCTGGTAAGTGCAGGAGCCACTACCATGTCTGTAAGGACAAGGGGGTGGAACCCATTAAGGGAATTCAGAAAGCTAACAGAGATGGACATCTAGCAGGAAGGAACCAGAGAAATAAATATGCCGACCTCATTGGCCAACCCCTAGAGGCTGGAGGGCAAGGGCAGCTTATTGATGTCATCCTCGTGACTCAGCCTCATGGGCAGAGAGCAGGGTAAAGAAGGGTGGAGAGCAGATCATGAGGAACAAATGGGGTCAATCTAGGACCTGTCAGAGATGGCTAAGGCACTGGAGTGGCTACTGTGTGTCTTAACAAGCTCTGAAGACAACAGTACAGAGATTTCCTTTTCTATCATCTTGCTTATATAACCATGAAGTAGGTTCATAAGAAACCTATCATTAGGTGGCGGGGTTCGGTGGCTCTTGCCTATAATTCCAGTAGTTTTAGAGGCTGAGGTGGGTGGATCATTTGAGGTCAGGAGTTCAAAAACAGCCTGACCAACATGGTGAAACCCCATCTCTACTAAAAATACAGAAAAAAAAAAAAAAAAGTTGGGCATGGTGGCAGGCGCCTGTAATCTCAGCTACTTTGGGAGGCTGAGGTAGGAGAATTGCTTGAACCCAGGAGGTGGAGGTTGCAGATTGTGGAGGTTGCAGGTGGAGCTGAGATTGTGGCACCACACTCCAGCCTGGGTGACAGAGTGAGACTCCACCTCAAAAAATATATATATACATATCATTAAGTATTATGGTTTTGTATTGTATTCTGGAAGGAGCCTAGAAATCTGAACTTCAAGTAAGGACTCCAGCTGAGGGCGGTGGTCCACATCTGTAATCCCAGCACTTGGAAGGGTAAGGTGGGAGGACTGCTAGAGCTCAGGAGTTTGAGAACAGCCTGGGTAACGTAGCAAGACCTTGTCTCTACCAAAAATAAAAAAGGAGTCCCTATAACTCAATGACAGTCTCTGTTCTCTTTGGTGCCTGTTAGGGCTGTGCAGAAACTCCAGTCTCCCAAGCCAGCTCAGTCCTGCAACAAACATGTAGAGGGAACATCTGTAGCCTGAAAGAGGAAGGTCAGACCTGACCTGGCTTCACAGGACCCTAGGAGCCTTTTAGGTATGAGTGGGCCCAGGCTGCCGGCTCTAACAAGGTTCACCTTATCTTGGCTCCTGGGCTGAATGGCTGAGCTTTCCAGGCTTGGGCTGGAGAGGCCCCTCCTATTTAGCTTCCTTGTCAGCAATTTCCAGAAGGTGAAAGTTACCTGCCAAAGGTAGTAACCTTAAACTGCAATAGAAATAATCCTCTGGGCTAGAGATGCCAAGGTTGTACCCAAAGTTTCCAAGGCAGGGTAGCCCTTAGCCCTGTGTCTGTGTCCCTGTAAAGGCCCTAGTCTTCTTTGACTGGTGTGTTGGTGACCTGTAAAGTTTGGGCATGGGCAGAGCAGGCCGCAGGGCCCAGCCTGGCTTCCCATGGAAGCCAGCAAGTTTCCTGCAAAGAGGAAGTTCTGGCTTGAAGGCCTCGAGGACAGTGAGAGAGCCCTTCTCTAACTGCAGCGGTAAGGAACTGCTCATCCATCCTATTCCATATAAAGGGACCCCTAGTGTTTCCTGGGCTGACACAAAGAAGAACGATTTATTTCTCAGCTATAGTTTTCTGAATTGGCAAGCTCAGGCTGGAGTGGGGAAAGCAGATCCAAGACAATCATGTGATGGAATTACACCTGCTGAGATAAAGCACAGTGCCGCTCCCCAAGCAAACATTCTTGCAGACTCTGCACTGCAAACTCGGCTCAGGAGGTGCTGGACTAATTTGTCTTTTGCCAACTAAAGGCAAATGCAGGGGGGCAGAGCCTGGCAGCTTCTCCTGCTGCCTGGTGATTTGAGGATCACTCTGTTTCCCTCCCCCCTCCACCACTCTCCCACTGATGCCTAAATAACAGGTACAAATTTGCTCCACTTCGCCAAGGAGCAAGGAAATGCACATCTCTTTACTTTTTCAAATCAAGTGGAATCATGCTCTGAGCCCCACCTTGCCCTGGCTGGTACAATCCCCAATTTTAATGATTATTGAAATCCTCTCTTTTCTGTTGGGCTATACTAGAATCCAGGGGCCTGCTTGGTAATGGGAAAGTGGGCAGGGGATTGAGTTAGCCAATACAATAGCCACCATTATTAATGTTGCTTCTTTTGTTATGTGTGACACAGCTGTTGGACTAAAAGGTTTCCCCTCAAAGTGCCTACTTTACCTACAGGCTCTGCCACAGGGACCCTTGTCGATGTTTTCAAGGTCATAGAGTTAGAGATTGTCCTTGAGGTATTAGTCATGTGCCAAGTTTGGGTGCTGGTGATGGAAGAAGGAGTGTTGAGGAAACTTTAGATCTCCCTGTAATCTAGGTCAGCATCTCCTGTTCTTTGTTATATGTAGTTAATATTTTCTCATTTTCATGTATGTAGCCATATAAACAGCTTAGAGCATCCTCCACCCCTCCCGGCCTTTCAACCAGATTGCTGCCGGTAAACCTCTCCTACAAAGACATTCTGACTACCAGGCACCAAATGCTCCCCTAGGCACCTGCAACCTCCAGAGCCCTTTACAGAAAAGGCACGAGTCTCTATTATTTGAGGATGCCTCTCCTTAATGTCCTCCCAGACTTATAGAATCCATTCCTCTCTCATCCACAAAGCCCTAGCTTCTCTCTACCCAATCCCCACCTTATCCTCTGGGGCACTGCTATCTAATTTCTTCCTGGGCCTGACCCTTGAATTATAGAGAAACCATTAGCTAACTGCTGCCACCACTACCCCCAAGACAAAATGAGCTAAGACTGACCACTAAACACAAAGCCTTGGCTAACTGGGAAGCTAGGAGGTCAGTGAAGAGTAACATAATTTTTTTTTTTTCCAACCAGGCCTAATGACTCACACCTGTAATCCCAGCACTTTGAGAGGCTGAGGTGGGTGGATCACCTGAGGTCAGAGGTTCAAAACCAGCCTGGCCAACATGGTGAAACCCCATCTCTACTAAAAATACAAAAATTAGCCGAGTGCAGTGGCAGGCGCCTGTAATCCCAGCTACTTAGGAGAATCGCTTGAACCTAGGAGGCGGAGGTTGCAGTGAGGAGAGATTGCACCATTGCACTCCAGCCTGGGTGTCATGAGTGAAACTCCATCTCAGAAAAAAGAAAAGAAAAAGTTTTTTTTCCTACAGCAGAAAGAAAAAAAAAAAGTCTCCTTCGATTATCATCATATGATTATCATTCTGTTACCAGAGTCATTCCTTTGGGTGAGACATTGCTGCCTCCAAGGGATCCCATATTAGGATGTCCCCTTGGGAGGGGTGAGGAAGCATGGCTAACACCTGACTATGAAGAGGTTCACCTGACACTTCCTGACATGGCAGGTGGGAGAGTATGGGTGGGGGAATTGGGAGAGGACTGCCTTTCCTTGCTTTATACCCCTGTCCAGTGGCTGGCTTTGTGGTTGGCTCCATCGGGTAGGACCCACCAGGAAACCTTCTCTTCTTTCCATTGAAGACAAGCATGCAAGTTTTCTGTGGTTTGTTAGGACTGGGCCACCACATCCTCAGCAAGCAGCAAGGTGGGGTGATGATCTCCGATATCAAACCACCTGGGAGTTACTGCTGTTTTGTAAAAACAAAGGCCCAAAGGTAAAATTTAGAGAGAGCAGGGTATGGAACATATCTGGGTATGGAACAAGCTCACGTATCTGGCAGAGGCACTGAGGCCACTATTGCTGGCCTCGTTCAGTGCCACCTGGGTGGGGGTCAGCAATGAGTTCATTCAACTCATGTGGTCAGGGGCAAGCACTGGGACAAAGTTGTCCCCAGAAGAGGTAAGAACCAGAAGGCAGCTTCTGGGTCTCATCTGGATTAATAAAAGCCCTGAGCACTGACTCTGGCAGGAGCCAGCTTCCTTCACTTACTAGGTGGTGGCCTTGGGGATTTACTTATGTCCTGTGACTCAGTGTTCTCATCTCTAAAATGGGGATAATATATCCACTCTATAGAAATGTTGCAGGGCTTTGCACTTGGAAGAGTACTTGACACACAGCAAGTATTATACAAATGTCAACTGCTGTAGTTACTGTCGTTGCTGTCTACAGAAGCCAGGTGTGGACCACAGAGCCAGAAGCCTTGGGCAAGTCTCCAGAGCTGAAACTAGAAAGAATTATTTATACCAGTTCCCATCCCGCCTAGGGCTCCAGATGAGATAACAGCTGTAAAACAGTCTCAGCTTCCCTGGGGGGGGACAAAATATCCAGATTCACTTCTAGAATACACGGAACAGAGGCTATTTCTTTTAGGCTCTTCAGCCTAAGCAGATTTTACTCTT